GGAACACTGAAGAGAAGAAGGCCAACAGAAAGAGAAAGCCTTCCCCTGGAGCTGACACCCTGAATTTGGACTTTTAGCCTACTTTACTGTAAGGAAATAAACGTCTCTGTTAAAATCATCCACCTGTGGTATTTCTGTTATAGCAGCACTAGATAACTAAGACAGTGCCTGAACCAGGAGCCTGCGATGCTCCCATCCAAACGAACCATGATCCTCTGCATTCATGAGCCCGTGCAGTAAGTGGTTCACCAAATGTGGAAGATGGGGAGGCATCTTTTAGTCCAAATGAACCCCCAGTTTGTCTTCTACTACCAAGGCATATCTAAAGGGCCATCTTCTACTTCAGGGACACAGATCAGATTGAGGTTCCTATAGATAATAGATTTCCTAAAGACCTCTACCTGCTAGCATTGCTGCAGAGGCAACAAGTCCAGACTTAGGGCATCAGGACAGTTGCACAGTGGTATTCATAATGGAGAAGAGGGAGGAACAAGCAGTTTCTTAGCTTTTTTGTCCAACGAGAATGGAACTGTGGACTATATAGTTACCTAGTACTCCTGGCACAGGACTAGTTGGTGGAATAAGGCCCATCAGAGGGTTTCGGCAATACAATCCAGAATGAAGAAAAAAGTGGAGTCCTCTAAGAGACAGTTGGGCAGTGGCCCTCTAGTAGCCAGGAGAGATGAACACCATGGAGTTATGTGGCCAGGAGGCGACAGAAAGCACAGGCCTTATACATGTTCTGCCAGGAGCAGCAAGTTGGAAGTGGTCCATGCATCACCTTCTTCCTCCCCAACATTATATCTAATAATCATTTTGTTTCATCCCTAAGTCAGCTGGGAAATAGCCAGGTTGGACTAAGGCTTGATCTGTGAAGCTGCCAGATGACCTAAGCCTGCTCAGATCTGTCTGCTGCTACCCAGAGCTTGGTCGGAATATAGAGCACTTGCTGAAGTGCCAGAGGCCTGAGAGGGCAGCAATGGCAAAAGGGCTGCTGCATTCAGAACGTGCAGGCCCATGTACTCCTGCCTCCTCTTTTTCAGAGGGGCTGGAGGGTCAGAGTCTTGTGCTAGTTCCATGTTTAGATTGTCCTGATTTCCAATCTAGAACTAAGACCAGAAAACCAGTCCATTCTCATACAACTAGTGGGTTCAGGGCTGGAATCACCGAGCACAGATGGCCAATGAATCTGCCTTTACCCAAACATATAGGTGGCATCTCAAGCAAGGTGCCAGGGGTTAATGTGAAGTCAGGGTATCTTAAAGGAGTGGATCAGTGAACTGAAGCAAAGACATTTCCATTTCTCTGCTTCCCCAAGAGAAGTGCGGCCGGAGAAATTGTTGATGATGCTCTCCCCTGCCCTCCTACCAAAAACCTCATATTAGCTCTGGATTATCCATACCTATAAAACACGTGTAGTTAGGTATGAGCTTAAGTCAGTGATTTAATAAATATTTAAGCAACTGAATTGTAGGCACTGGTGATGGCAATAGTGATGGTGGCAGCAGCAGTAGCTGCTGCTGTTGCTGCTACTGCAGCTGCTTCTGAGTCTTCCTTCTTCCTTTATT